AAACCTAGATATTTTAGGCAATATAGAAATCCTGGCCAGGACGCGTCCTGGGAAAATGGCACGTATGGTCACCCTATATATATATAATGTGTGATTTCACAGGTGACTCTTACTAACTTGCCTCAAGCTTTATTAAATATTTGTGAGCAGTATGTGTTTTAAATATTTATGTACCATATTTTGAATTTTGTCTTTGTGCAAATTTAATTTCCCCGGCATGTTTCTTTTCTTTTCCTTTCTTTTCTTTTCTTTTCTTTTCTTTTCTTTTCTTTTCTTGTTTGTTATCTATTCTGTAGTCTAATGTTCAGTGAAAAAGTAAAGAGAGCAAAGAGAACTATTGAACTGTATCTGTTTTATCTGCGTATGTTGTGAATAGGCGATAACGCAATAATTCAAAGGACTGTTGGCACTGTTTTTATGATGATTCAATCATCAGTCAGCCACGCCTGCTAAGCGCAATCATGAATTATTCATGAGCTAAGCCTTCGCTTTAGTAGAATTGGTAAATGCGCTTGAGGGGCGGAGATGAAGCGCCAGCGCCTGTAGTTCTCCGCTGAAGTGCGTTTCAGAGTCTGAATCATGAAGAACAGAAGAGCTCACTGGGAGTGGTGCGGACGTTGTGTAATACGCGAATAGGACACTTTATTTGCGCTCTTGTTGCCTGTGTGAAGTTATAATGCAGCTGCTGCTGCTGACCTCCATGAAGTTTTCAAGCTCAGATAAAGTCGGACAGACAGTGATAACGGATACCGGACACATACAGGACAAACCCGCAGAATAAGAGTGTGATTGTCACATTGGAGGAGAGATGGGGAACGCAGGGAGCATGAACCAACACACTGACCCCAGAGGACACCACATGCCCCTCAAACTGCCCATGCCCGAGCCGGCCGAGCTGGAGGAGAGATTTGCGCTCGTCCTGGTCTGTACTAATGACAAACAACTAGAAAGAAATCTGCACTTTCTTTTGACTTCTTTCTTTGTTGCACTTCTATTCTATTCTATTCTATTCTATTCCTGGTAGTGTAGTTGCTCTTATTTATTATCAGGCAAACTATATAGATCGCGTTTGTAGACATCTAAAGAGATGATTACTTTGCCATTTTACTTTTGGCTGGAATTCTATTTCATTTATTTATATTCAAAGATATATTAATTTGTTTTGTAGACACATACATAGATGTTTACTTTGCCATTTTACTTTTTGCTGCTATTCTACTCCATTAACTTGGTAGTAGTTGTTTTATTTATTTACATTCAAAATTATACGTATCACTTTTACACATATAAAGAGGTTTACTTTGCCATTTTACTTTTTACGGCAGTTCTATTCTATTCTATTCTATTCTATTCTATTCTATTCTATACTTTTCTATACTTGGTAGTGTAGTTGCTCGTTTATTTATCAGGCAAATTATATAGGCCTAGATCGCTTTTTTAGACATCTAAAGAGATGTTTACTTTGCCATTTTACTTTTGGCTGCAATTCTATTTCATTTATTTATATTCAAAGATATATTAATTTGTTTTGTAGACATATAAATAGATGTTTACTTCGCCATTTTACTTTTTGCTGCTATTTTATTCTATTAATTTGGTAGTAGTTGTGTTATTTATTTACATTCAAAATTTTGTATCACTTTTAGACATATAAAGAGGTTTACTTTGCCATTTTACTTTTTTACAGCAGTTCTATTCTATTCTATTCTATTCTATTCTATTCACTTGTAGCTGGGCACCGTTCTGTCATTTACACTGGTCTGTTGAAAGTTTATAAATCAGTTTTATGGACGTTTATTAGTCATAAAATGTGAGATGGACGGTTTGTGGTCGATGTTATCTGATGATAATACCAGTACTTTGATATATACTATCGTATAAAATAATTAACTGGTACTTCAAAGAAAACCATGGTACTACCATGATACAATGTCCAAAAAGCTATGGTACTTTTTGTTTGAAATGCAGGTGTGTCTCTCTGGGTTTTTTGTTCAGAGATGTTCAGTAACCTATTGGAACTTCAGCTTGGATGATAGAGCCACTGCAAATGAACTGTGTTTATTATTATTTCAGTTTAATGTAATTTTGTTCATAAAGATATTAATAATGGTTCTGTCTTTGGGGCTGAAAGTGCTTCTTAGTAAAATATACTTTTCCTTGATATCTCTAGATGGGTTGTCCCTCTTCTGTCTTTGGAAAGTTTGCTTATCACGGACTTCCACCACTCCTTTCCAGAGAATCAAATATCCATATGTCAGATACAAATTAGTTTGTTATTTAATATTATTTATTATTTAATATCGCCATTGTCAAGACATGTCATAATTTGTTTAAACTCCATCATCATGTGCCATTGTCTAGAACAGCCGTTTCCAAACATTCCCTACTCATCCAGTTCTTTTTAGCTTAATGCTGACTTGAATATATGGCACAGGAAATGATGTCATGAAGTTGGAATCTACGATCCTTTGCCTCTGTGTGTGTCTGAAGAATGCGAGGAATGTATTAGATTAGTATGCAGCTACCTGAAGTGCGCTGTGTGTTGAGTTCTGGCCATCTGCTAGGCCTGGTTTTATGGGGACATATAAATGTAGGTCAGACCTAATGCTTCACTAGCACTAGACAAACCCTTTCAATTAACACACACTCACACAGGCCATTCAGAGAGCTGGAGGTTTCATCAAGGAAAGCAGCTATAGTGCCAGAATGAGGGAGTTCAGTCAGTCCCTAAGGCAATGGAGTTGGTTTGGTTCTCTTTCTTTCACAGACCCTCAGGCTGTGGTTATTCTACCAATTGAGGTGCCAAGGGAGTAGTTTCCATTCAATATCCTTAGCTAGAAAACGCTCTCTTTCCGGCTTTCTTACTTTCTGTTCGTTTGGCCACCTTCTCTCTGTGAGTGTGTAACTTGTCTTTATTTGTGGTTGTTTAATAGCAGTCACAGTGGCAGTGATACATATGAACAAATAATTAGGGTTGTCACTACATCAAAATTGAACAAAACCTTGCAGGTTTCATAATCTTCAATATCACCCCATAACGAATGAATGAATAACTCCAACCACCAAATAAATAAACAGTTTATAACTACTATAAGTATATCCAACTTTACCCACTTAAATACAGTACACTCATGTATAACAATATATATTACATAGAAAATCTCAACTTCTTGGTTGTTTATAATATTTCATAATTCAAACCCTTTTATTGGCAATATATTTAACATTTATATATAGTACTTTCAACTTTATTTGCATACATACAGTATACTCATGTAAAACAATATATATAGCAAATCTCGGCTCTGTGATTGTTTATATTGTTGCAAGATGTAAATTACAGTATATTATCACAAAGTGCTATATATAAAGTTGGATATATAAGTTTGTCTGTCCAACTTGACCCACATAGAGTATTCTCACGTAAAGCTATATAGTAAATATCAACTGCTTGACTGTTTACATCATCGCAAGATGCAAACTATATTATCGCCCAGTTCTAATCTACTAAAAATGACTACAAGGCATGAAGATATTATACACATTAACATGATAAAAAAATAGAACCTATCCATTAGAAACCATATTTATTATGGTTTTACGTTAGTAAAAATGACTAGTAACCGCTAATCTCACACCAGACTGTAATTTAACAATTTTACTCCTCTTAACACCTCTTAACTCCTAGGTTTTTTTTTGGTTTTTTTTGACAGTAACATTTTTTATTTCTAATTATAAGAATGTAGGTAAAACTTATGCAAAAATACAGAAACTATTTAAGATTTTCTAGTGGCACTGTAAATCAGCCTGCTGAGTTCATTCAAAGTTATGAAGAATAAAAAGAGCATTTCATGTTTTTTATGCTTAAGTGATTGTAAAACAGCCTTCTGAAAAGCCCTCATATAGAGTCAAACTCTCAGTAATACAGAGCACACATCTCCCTGGGACAAGTGTCCTGTCAGAGACTGGCAGGCGCTCACAGAGACAATGTCTTTTTTCTTGGCAGGCTGTGGTTGAGACATTAGGAACACTTTAGCACTGTAATCGCAGCTTTGAGTGGTATTTACTGTTATTAAAGCCCTGGTGCGTGCCAACCCACAGACCTTTCCAGTTGCCTTACTGAGCGAGAAAGATCCTTGTAATGATCGACTTCTGCTTGAGTGCTTCTTTCATCCACGGGTCATTCTGAGAGGAAAATCTGATGACTAGCAGATACAAGAAGATGGTCTGATCTTTAAAGGTCCCATATTGTCAAAACTGAAATTTCCTGGCTTTTTTCATGATAACTGAGGTCTACGAGAAAACGCTGTTCAGTCTGGATGTCAAACAACTACATCATTGCACAGTAGGGCTGTGACGGTCGCCGTGACAACCGCGCCACTGGCGGTAGTGCACGTGACGTCACACACTCTATAACAAGCATAATACAACGTTTTGTATACAAGTGTAATAATAGTAACAGTTGCAAATTGTTTTATTTAGACTATAAGTCTATGCTAATTCACAAATGACCTCAAACGCCATACACAGCGTTTGATCCTTTAGATTGGCAGGTTTGAGCGCAGGAAAATACAGTACAGAATACAGAAACCAAATGATTGGCAGGTTTGAGTGCAGGAAAATACAGCACAGAATACAGAACCCAAATGCTACATCGCGAATATGGAATCATTTCCATTCATGTCACTCATCCGCATTTGTATAAGTGTCTTCAAGTTCTCGTGATCGCAAACGCTCGGCTGGGCAGGTTTGTATTTACTGCATTCAGTGTTTGAAAAAAAAAAAATGAATTACCATTCTGAAACATCCTGTTGTAAGCGCGTTTGAGGAGGTGGTTGGTTGTCTCCTGTCGTCGGCGATTCGGGGTCTGAGTTCGGCTCAAACATGTAAGGCCGGGCAACATGTAAATTTCCCTCAGCAGTGACAATCATTACCGCTGTTTCTATTGACCTTACTTGTGAGTATCACCAATCCACAGCAGGCTACAGCATACATGACCCTAGTTGGCCTGGCCGTGCGTCACTCAGAAAACAACAGGCCAATCAGAAGAGAGTCTCATGAATATTAATTAGATAGGCCAAAATTGACCTGTTCTTTGCTGAGCTCCTGAGAGAGGAGCTGTAAAAATATATTGAGATGGTTTTTGGTACTTATACCGCAAATATATATTCTTAAGGACATCAAGACTTAAAATAAAACTCCAGAAAG